TGTAATTGCAACACCATCTACTCTTGCCCTCAGTAAGATCAAGTTTAGAGGTGGCTGTGGTTAGAAACTTCAAAAAAAAAAAACACACCAGTTCTTGAGCTCTGTTTACAATTCAGTTTCAGACGCCAATATGTAACTTCAGCGAGGAGCTTTGCTTTTACGTAGATCATTTATGAGGTATTAGCAAGTGTTTCTCAAACAAAACAAAGAACAAGGCAGTAAGGAATGCAAGAAATCCATAGTCAGAACATTTGAAAGTAAATGACAATAATTTAAGTGCTATGTAAGCAACCAAAGGAGGGAAGCAACCAACAGTCCTACATAGGCATGCTGCCTGTGAACCACAGCAATCAGCATGGTGTGATAACCCAAAGGATTCAGTAACAGCACAACTTGGGGATTACCAATGGGTCTCTAATTGTGCTTAACACCTACCCAACAAGAAGGAAACAACAGAAACCTAGCTCCTACACAGGCATGCTGCCTATGAACCACAGCAACCAGCATGGTGTGATAACCCAAAGGATTCAGTAATAGCACAACTTGCGGGTTACCAACGGGTCTCTAATTGTACTTAAGACCTACCCAACAAGAAGGAAACAGCAGAAACCTAGCCAACTACCCAGGGCTAGTGAAGTTGCAGATCCTGGAGGAGAACTTATAACTACCACTTTACTAAGCCAGCATAAGTGGCTAACTACATTCTAAGTGTTTATCCTTACACTTACAGGTAAGTGTAGTCCTCAGTCCACGTCAATGAAATTTCTGTTTTCAACAGACAAAAGCCATTACAGAAAACCACAACCCATCAAAATGAGGAGTTCTGGAGCCCAGTTCCAATGACTGCAGCTCCCATAATTAAGGCTCGGGGATCATTACAGAGCAGGGGGCAGAAAGACTGTAAGAGCGAGAAGACAAGATAGTTTGTTGTGTCTCCCAGGAATGTTGGAAGCTACACACATAAACTCTCACCAGTGTGACTGCCTAAACATGAGTTGAACAAAGACAACAACAACAGACATTCTAATGTGGACTGGGGGGAAGCCCACAAGGCCTCAAAACCCACACTACAAGCAACTAAAGCATGCAGAAGATGGGAGAAATAATCTGCTCCAGAGAAGAGCACACAAATTGGTTACCTAATACCAAATGGTCAGTTCCAAAAACATACATGTAAGTAACGTTATATAGACTGAACAGGCTGTAATTATGTATACAGCAATGTGTGTGTGGTGTGACAATAACTAATGACAAAAGAGTCCATGAATTTGAAAAAGAACTATGAGCTGTATACAGGAGGGCTTGTGGGGAGGAAAATGATGTAATTATAATCTCAAAAGGTAAAAGAAATAATTTAAAAAACAAAAAAGGATTGGCTTGTATGTACACCTTTTAATAAACTTACAAAAAGTTTATTAAAAGGTACACATTTGGGTCTGTAAGAGAAAAGCATACTTACAAAACTGCACAATTTTCTTGTACTGAAAATTCCTTATTCGTAACACTTGTGTCATTACATTGAGGTCCATTTAGTCTGGACAGGTCTATTTATGGACAGGCCAGCACATGTCAACCCAAGACAGGCAGACCTTGATGGGAGAGCATATCTCTTGTTATGCTCCACAGATACATTAAGACTTGGGCCTGCATGTCAGCCTGATGTCCACTTCAGCAAAGCACAGAGCTTTGGTGGACTTGCTGCTCTGCAGGTAGGCTCAAGCAGAGTCAGACTGCAAGTTATCACTGACCTACAGTTGCTTCCAGGCATGGAAAAACCATATGTGAGCAGTGTAACTTGGTGAAGATGACTCACTGAGTTCAAAGCATACAGATCATGTTTAGATAAACAAAACTTTAAATCAGGTTTAGTTCAAGTTCCAGCACTGCACTTATCATAATTATAGCCTTGAACAACTCCCTTAAGCTGTCGAACTTCCAGTTTCCTCATCTTTAAACAGGGCTATTCATTCTGCCCTCATGGTTGTTCTAAGGAGTCAATATGATAGAATTTCTTAAATGGTTTAGTGCCAGAGCTTCAGTGAGTGCTGAGTGAAAGACCAAGTCATTGCCAAGAGTGGCCCTGAGCTCCTGAGAGGTCCCAGGAGTGAAATATACTAGGGGCTGGAAAGATTTTAATAACATTTTCCCTCATTTGTTGGAAATACTTATTTAAAAGTTTTGTTTGCCTTTTGTAAGAAAAAGTTCATGAAAGGGACAATAAGGAAGAGAAAAAGAAAATGAAAAAGTTGGGGGGAAATGAATCCAAATGATAGTGGAGGATTATTTCCACCCACTTGAGAGTTCAGCAAGATGTTACTAGACTCTAACATGGGGTAGAGATCTTTATAATAAGGATATTACTTAAACTAGGAGCAGTTATCCAGAGCTCTCACACAGTCCACCCAGTAGACATCATATCCTCTTTATTATGTTGAAACCATGAAGAACTTTGTAGGAAAACATACTACTTTTCTACTTGGTAAAAATGGATAATCAGTAGAGAAGATTTTTTTTCTCTACCCCACCAGAGAGATTAATGACTTATATTGTGAGCTCTTACCTACTGGCTTTGGAAGTACATATTTTTCTCTTTCTCAAAATCTTTGTCCAGACAGTCTTTACAATCCAAGTACCCAACTGCCCTCGTGCCCAGCATCAGCAATGTTAGAGACCAGATCTAGACAGGTGTCTGGTTTCTACAGATTCTTTTGTTTCAACATCTACACCTAAGTAGTAGCTAGTCCTGATAACATCCCAAGGGCAGATGCCTAGTGCACAGAGTGACCTACACAGTGGATGCTTCTTGAGGTATAAAGAAGTGCTGTAGGCTGACTATGAACACAAGCCAATATGTGAACAAGCCGATATGAACGAAAGCCACTATAACTAAATCAACACACTAGTTGTTGGAATGAAACTGAAGAAAAAAGAATGGCTATAACTTGGCAAAAGTCTCTACCCTTCCTTCCTTCTGGTCAAGGGAAACATCCAGGTTAAAGAGGAAGAAATCTGCCTCTGTGCCCCAATTTAAAGCCACATTCTACCAAATTGTTGTGGCTAAGTCTCAGGCATAGCTCTGCCCTGAAATAGACCCAAGACTTGTCTGTTCAGTAAACTTGCTATCTACTTTCAATTGCCAAGTAGGAGAAAGGGCTTGGTGCTTTCTGTGGTCATGTGACCAACATCTCTTGCTTAATTTCATTTCTATCATGCCTATGACAGGGAGTAGGGGAGCAATACTTCTTTGAGTGCATATTCAGTGTTTTGTAGCTGGAATGTTAATAATCCCAGTCTCTATAATAAATTCATAACAGTCTCCTCTCTCAAGGAGTCTTTGACAGACTCTTAAACTCTTGTATTTTGTGTACATTCTCTGCCTTATAGAAAAGAGCACATTGTATTGTGTTCTGTGTACCCATCTATCTTCCCTCCATGGTAATCTTTTGGGTATTGACAACCACATCAGTTATCTTCATATTTTCAGCACCTGAGCTCAATGTCTGGCCCCTGGGACATTGCAGGATAGAGAATGGAGTAGGAAAGCAGTAGTTTGAGGGTTTCTGGCCAGTCAGAGGCTAACCAGGGGGCATAAGAAGCTAAGAAAACAACAGAGTTTTTCCTTTCTATCCTTGCCTCTTGTTAACAAACAAAGCTGATATTCTTTGAGTATAGTAAGGTAACTGTGATAACCTGGACTTCCTGTGGCCATAAAGGTAAGAGAACATTGTGTTTAAAGGAGAAATAATCTTAACTGGCCCACACAGGAAACCACATTTCAGTTCAGCATCTGCTCCTAGTCAACCAGTTTCAAAACAGTGAAGATTCCGTTTTAAGATTGAGAAAGCAAAACTTTGCTCACCCAGCAGATACGATTCTTTTTTGGCTCAGTCTCCTCCTATGTATGATTGCCCAGAAGAGTCCCTTAAGGACAGAACTATTACTGGACAAATCCTCCCTCCTCCCTCGTTTCTCCTCCTTATCCACAGTTCCTGCCAAAGCAGTGTCAGACTTCACAGGGTGTCTAGCCCCTGATTGTTAACTTAGTTAACAGTAGCCTCTGAGGGACACATTGGTAAACTACAGCTATCTCCCCATCCTGTCCCTTGATTTTTTGGTGAGTAAATATGGTCACAAGGGACTTTCTTCTCTCCTTTAGATCATAATCAAATGAGCTTCTCACAGTTCTTTGATCAAGAAAGACCTGACACAGACATTTTGTATTGACTCAGAAAGTTAGGACAAAAGCTTGAGTATCACTCTGCTGAATACTTGAAGTCTAAAATTAGTTTTGGTCTATGAGTTGGAAACTACTGCTATATCAAATTGTGTGTTTCCTCTCAGCAGAGCACTTTATATGAGATTTGTCAACATTCATGCTTCGTATATTAAGGATCAGTTAATGTGGAGAAAGAAGCCCTTCAGATCACAACGTTTGCATTGCTCTTTGAAAGCCCCCAAACTAAGCCTCCTTAGGGAATATCTAGGAATAAAATCATAAAGTACAGTTACAGGGCACTTACTGTGTTGAGGTTTTGTTTTTTTAGCCCATCTTATACCAAAGCATGATGATTAGAGCACTAACTTCCCTTATAAAATGTTTTCAGATGAAGACAATAATACATCTCCTGGCTACTGTTCTAGATCACTCTGGCTATTACTTCTCCCTCTAAACTCAAGTTTTGATTTTAAAGAACAAACAATATAGAAGATCTCCCCCATTTCACCGCATCTCACACAGAAAACTTTAACCATCAGAAACCACCATACACAGTAAGCAATTCAGTGCTGTAGTGATGTATGCTCATGGGTGCTCAGGCCCATAGAGATATCAGATAACAAAGTAAATCAAAGTATGTCTAGCCTGATTGCCTGAGGAAACTGCTGATCTAAATATTTGTGAAATAAGAAATTTTAAAGTTACTAGAGAGATGTATGGATACTCTTAAATTGCTGTGCCCCGCCTTAGCTGGTTCAGAGATGCTAAAAGTCATAAGTCTTACCTTTTGTAGGCAATGTCCCTCAATACTTCAGGTGGAATTCGCTGATTATCTTTAAGGTGGCCAACACAGGCTGCTAACACAGAAGTCTGGGTCTATTTGTGTAAAAGGAGAAGTAAAGAGAGAAAAAAATGATCACGCCGTGACAACAGGAAACTCAAGCAAGAAGAGTGAGGAAGTGAGAATGCGTGTTCTCTCTTAGGCTCAGATATTCAACTGTTCCCCAGTGGTTTTTTAGAAGCTTCCACCCACAGGCCACTCTAAGCTAGTTTCTGGGAACCAAAGACCCTGACACACCAATCAGAGTCATGGTGAACTCTACAGTGATTTGGGGGATGGTTCCTGTCTAGAGAACAGTGCTTCTCAACTGAAATGGCACCTAGGAATTAACTATGGATCTTTTCCTGTGTACCTGGCCTCACCACCTGACCACAGGCTGTATTACTAAACCATAATGACAAAGATAGTATGGTACTAGAACCAAAGCATACTTGTAGACCAATAGAACCTAATAGAGGATACAGAAATAAACTTGTACAGGTTTTGGACAAAGTTGTAAAACTGTGCACTGGGAAAAATACAACGTGCTGAATAAGAGGTACTGGCAAAGTTAGATAACTACTAACAGAAAAATTAAATTAGATCTGTGTCTTTTACCCTGCATAAAAAGTCAACTCAAAGTGGATCAAAGACCTTAATTTAAAACCTAAAATACTGAAATGACTAGGAAAAACACTTCAAAATATCGGTATAAGCAAAACTTTTGGAATAGAATCCCAATAGAACAGGAAATATTCCCAGGAATTGAAAAATGTGATTATAGAATATTAAAATGTTTCTACATGGCAAAGAGCCTATCAGAAAGTGAACAGATAGCCTATAGAATGGGAGAATACCTTTGCCAGCTATATGTCAGACAGAAGTTTGAGATCTATAAATATAAAGGACTGCACAAATTAAGCACCCAAAAACCTTCAAAACTGCTTATTGATAAATAGGCCAATGAACTTAAGACAGTTCTCCAAAGGAGAAATACAGTTGGCCAACAAATAGTTTTAAGGGTTTAACATCCTTCACCAGCAAGGAAATGCAATTTAAAACTACTTTGAAATCCTGGTCCTCTGGTTTTTACAACCTTTCAATCCCCTTGTCCATGCTCTCTGATCCTTAGGTATGTAAGACTGGTGATGGGCACCCCCGTGGTCAGATATTCTGCATTTTGACCTGTTGTGGCTTTCTACAATGGTCTCTGTTTGCTGCAAAGAGAAGCTTCTTTGATGAAGGTTAAGACCTACACTAACCTGTGGATATAAGGATCAGTGTTTAGAATAAAATAGGAGTGATATTGTTTTCATAACATGCAGGTAGTAGATTCTCTTCTAACATCCGTGACTTCACTAGCTCCTGGCAATTGGCTAGCTTTCCAGGACCAAGCATGATATCCCTCCTACTGAACAGGCCTTTAGTCCAATTAGATAGCTGCCTGTTACCACCAATGTATGAGTGTCACTATTGTACCTTTAGGGATATCTTGTCATGATGGTCATTGTTGTTTTTTATATGCTGTGTAGAACTATTGGTTGTGTCCCTCCCTTAGCAGACTGCATAGCATCTTCTAATACTATGAAAGCTGGTCTCCAATGGCAGAGGCTTTCAGGTCAAATTCAGCTTAAATCTACCCAGTCCTGTGTCTGAAATATGTCATGACTTCAATAATATGGTCTTAACTCAAACTTCTAGGAGGCAACTGTGCTGGCTAGCTTTATGTCAACTTCACACAAGTTAGAGTTAGTTGGGAAAAGGGAATCCCAACTGAAAAAAAAATGACCATACCAAATTGGCCTATGGACAAGGCTGTGGTGTAATTTCTTGATTGATAATTGATATGAGCCCAAATCACTGTGGGTGGTGCCACTTCTGGGCTGGTGGTCCTGGGTGCTATAAGAAAACTAGCTATATGAGCAAGTCAGTAAGCAGTACTCTACAATGGCCTCTGCAACAGTTCCTGCCTCCATGCTCCTGCCTTGCTTGAGTTCCTGCCCTGATTTCCCTCAGCAATGGAGTGTGACCTGAGAGTTGTAAACTGAAATAATTTATTTCCTCCTTGAGTTTCTTTTGGTAATGGTTTTTATCACAGAAATAAACCCTAACTGAGATAGAAATTTGGTACCAAGTCATGAGACAGTTTTATGTCAGACCTGACCATGTACTTTTGGGAAGATTGTGGTGGCGTTTGAACTTTGGAATGGAAATGCCATTGAGTGATCAGTACTCAGTTGATTATTCTGTGGGAGTTTAGAAGATAAGACTGTTGATAGTGATGCAGAAGATAGAGGACTAGACTTTGAAGTTTAGAGGGAAGTTCTGAGAGTACCTTAAAGACCCTACTGGGGCCATTTTGTGTTTTGAAACAAGAATCTATGGTGTCTGGTCAGCTGGAGCTGAAGAATCAGCAGTAATTAATGAGAGACTAGTGCCAGTGAAGTAAGATATTTGCCTTCCTGGGACAACTGACATTGTTAGCTGGAACTGAGATATTAGAATTAATTGAGACCAGCATCATTGAGGATTGTAAATATGGGACTACTTCCTCAGGGTCAGCACACAAAAACTGTGGTCCAGAGGAGGCCTGCTGTGAGATGTCATTCTGTATACTGTGATTATGTGTTGCTCTGATTGGTTGATAAATAAAACGCTGACTGGCCAGTAGCCAAGAAGGAAGTATAGGTGGGGCGAGCAGATAAGGAGAATTCTGGGAAGAGGAAAGGCTGAGTCAGGAGTCACCAGCCAGACACAGAGGAAGCAAGATGACAAGGTAGAACTGAGAAAAGGTACAAAGCCATGTGGCTAAACATGAATAAGAATTATGGGTTAATTTAAGTATAAGAGCTAGTCAGTAATAAGCCTGAGCTAATGGCCTAGCAGTTATAAATAATATTAAGCCTCTGTGTGATTATTTTATAAAAGGCTGTGGGACTGTAGGTGAGAGATTTGTCCTGACCTCGGGCCAGGTGGGACATAGGAAATCTTCTGACTACAGAGACCAAGGCAATTGAACTTCATAATGTAGGTAGAAGTCACCCTAGTGATACTATTTTTAAAGGCATGAAGGTGCTCATGGGAGCATCTGAGGCTTGGCACTGTGTGGCAGAAGGGGAGTCCCAGAAGTGAGGACAACAAAGTACAATGATGAAGTTTCAGCCTCAAACATAATAGAAGCCTCAGGACTGAAGGGGTTGTAAATAAATTTGAGGGTTGGCACCATGGTTTGAAAAAGGGTGAGGGCATCATGGGAGGAGTTGGAGGGAGAAGAGGGAAGGGGAAGTGACATAATTATATTTTAAGTTTTTTTAAACCACAAAATATAAAACAAAATTTTAATAAACAGGGACAACAAATGCTGCCTTTTTTAGTGGCCTCCCCATGGTGCTGGCATCTCCAAAACTGCTAGGGTCCTCTGCTGCAAATGGGTTGCACTTTCACTAGCCTCTCCTGGGATCTCTTCATGGTGCCAAGCCTCAAGTCCTCTGCAAGTCCCCTTCAATCATGGGATGTCAACAGCTACCTAGGCTGCACCTTCATCAATGGCCTCCCTGGCCTCTCACAGTGCCAAACCTCAGCTCCTCTCCATGACCCCTTCAGTCTTTCAGACCCAGTACCACCTGGGTGACCTTTAAACTACCAAGTTCAGTTGCTAACAGGAAGTACAACTTCTGGAACACAGCTTCTGTGTGCTGACCCTGAGGAAACACTTCCCAGAAGACTTTGCCTCAATAGTGCTGGTCTCTTTTTCTTTTCAAGGTCCAATTTTATTATTTTTCTTTCTTAAGAAATCCCAACACAATTCTTCACAGACGTGGAAAGAACAATACTTAACTTTATATGGAAAAACAAAAAACCTAGGATAGCTAAAAGAATTCTGTATAATAAAGCAACTTCTGGAGGTATCATGACCCCTGACCTCAAGCTCTACTATAGAACTATAGTAATAAAAAACAGCTTGGTAATGGCATAAAAACCAACACATGGACCAATGGAATCGAATTAAAGACCCTGACATTAATCCACATACCTATGAACATACGATTTTTCAACAAAGAAGCCAAAAAAGTACCATGGAAAAAAAAAAGCATTTTCAACAAATGGTGCTGGCATAACTGGATGTCAACATGCAGAAGAAGATTGCAAATAGATCCATATCTGTCACCATGCTCAAAACTCAAGTCCAAATGAATCGAAGACCTCAACATAAATCCAGTTACACCGAACTTGATAGAAGAGAAAGTAGGAAGTAGTCTTGAATGCATTGGCACAGGAGACCACTTCCTAAATATAACACCAGTAGCACAGACACTGAGAGCAACAATTAGTAAATGGGACCACCTGAAACTGAGCTTTTGTAGAGCAAAGGACACAGTCAATAAGACAAAATGACAGCCTACAAAATGGGAAAAGATCTTCACCAACCCCATATCTGACAGAGGGCTGATCTCCAAAATATATAAAGAACTCGAAAAGCTAGACTTTAAAATACTGAACAATCCAATTAAAAAATGGGCTACAGAGCTTAACAGAGAATTCTTAACAGAAGAATCTCAAATGGCTGAAAGACATTTAAGGAATTGCTCAACATCCTTAGTCATCAGGGAAATGCAAATCAAAACAACTCTGAGATACCATATTACATCTATCAGAATGTCTAAGATCAAAAACACTCATGACAGCTTATGTTGGAGAGGATGTGGAGCAAGGAGAACACTCCTCCACTGTTGGTGGGGCTGCAAACTTGTACAGCCACTCTGGAAATCAGTATGGAGGTTTCTCAGAAAATTGGGAATCAATCTCCCTCAAGACCTAGCTATACCACTCTTGGGCATATACCCAAGGAATGCTCAATCTTATCACAAGGACAATTGCTCAACTATGTTCATATCAGCATTATTTGTAATAGCAAGAACCTGAAAACAACCTAGATGCCCCTCAACTAAAGAATGGATAAATAAAATGTGGCGCATATACACAATGGAGTACTACTCAGCAGTAAAGAACAATGATATCATGAAATTTACAGGCAAATGAATGGAACTAGAAAATATCCTGAGGTAACCCAGACTCAGAAGGACAAACATAGTATTTACTCACTCATAAGTGGATAC